AGTCACTCTGAAAGGAGTTACGACCTAGCGACGCTTTCGTTGCGATTAATCCGTCGCAACCTCGAGTTATGGGCTGCATTGTACTGCACATTGGACATGAAACTAAAACCCCATCAGGCCTATGCTCAAACAAAGGCAACTTATGAAAAGTTTCATCCTCGGCTGTTTAGGCTTGTATAGTGACAAATTTTAGAAAATTTATATCTTGAACGTTTAAATCTGCAAATTCTAATGTCGAATAATATTGGAGCGCTCTCGCAAAATGATTAACTGAATCTGAATTCTTCTGATATTTGAGCTGATTCCTTTACTTTAATACGAGAGAGATTGAGCGATTTCACGAGGATCCGTGAGTGCATACTGAAAATAAATGTGCATTCTACAAAAGTCACAAGAGATAATGTGTTTTATGTAGAATATGCTATTATGCACTACTCTCAAAATCTCGGTCAAATAATGTTTTCATCTCCGCCATATGGGAATCGTTTTTCCTTACGAAATCTTACCGAATCTGCTTCATAATAACAGTGCAGCCCTCCATCTTCATCGCAAATTGTGCTGTTGTATTCCATCTCTAATAGGTACCTAAATGTCATAATTCAGAAAATGTAGTTATTTAAAGTGATATTCTTTCTTTACCTCCCTCTCTGAAGCCGCTCTTTTAATACTAAACGGGCTAATTTCTTCTGATCCTCTCTTTTCAAGGTTTTTGGGTATACCCTTTTACCTAAAGAATTGTTTTTTTAAGTGTAATATCATGACTGCTTGCCAACCTTCTCTTCTCAGGCGTATCCTCTCAATATTGACACGGGTGCCAACATGAAAAAGGATTTCATCGTCCGTTGAATTTCCATATGAATCCAAATGTACGATTAAACTGCCGCGGATGATCTTCTGCCCAAACTGGGTTAAATCTAACTGCAATCTCACGAATTTGCAACAGTAAACAGCGCTGATGTCCTTGGACATACGTTGAGATCATAATGAAGTGGTAGAGTATGCGTGGGTAAGGGTACAAGAAGAACGTCTTGCTTCCTTTTTTCATAGCGAGCATGCAGCTCCTCCATAAACTCATAGGACTCGTAA